ATGTATATGCACTACATGTGTGTCTGGTTTTTCCAGAGGTCAGAGAAGGGTGTTGAATCCTCTGGAACTGGGAGTAAAGATGGTTTCAAACTACAATGTGGGGTCTGAGAACCAAAGCCAGGTCTTCTGCAAGAGCAGAAAGTGCGATCTCTGAGCCATCTCTCCAGTCCTTATTTTTTTTTTTTTTTTGTTGGTTTTTCAAGACACTGTTTGTCTGTGTAGCCTTAGCTGTCCTGGACTGGCTTTGTAGACCAGGCTTGCCTTGAACTCACCACGATTGGCCTGTTTCTGTCTCCTGAGTGCTGGGATTAAAGGCATGCACGATCATGTGCCCTTACTTCCAGTCATGATGAGACCTGATAGGCTAGGATGAGATGGAAGGGGAGGAGGACCACCCTTATCATTGGACTGGGGGAGGGGAATAGGAGAAGAGGGAGGGGGCGGGACTGGGAGGGGATGGGGAGGAGGCTGCAGCTGGAATACAAAGTGAATAAATTAATTAGTAAAAGATAAAAATTTTAAAAAAGTAATAAAAAATAAAGAAAAAAGGGGGTTTGAAGGAGAGTATTTCATCTTTAGAGCCCCTCTCACTTTCTTTTTCTTAATAAATCTGTGTTTGCTTTGATCGACACAATATTTGAAGGACTTCTGTGATGGCTAGTTTTCTGTCAATTTTACACAAATTAGAAAGATCAGAGAGGAGGGAGCCTCAATTGATGCCTCCTTAAAATGGGGCTTTAGACAATACATGGGGCATTTTGTTGATTGGTGATTGATGGGGGATGGCCCAGCCCACTGTGGGTGGTACCACCCTGGGTTGGAAGTCCTGGGCCTGGAACTCCTGCACAGATGTAGTCTATGGCAGGTCAGTGTCCAAGTGGGTTACATAGTAATGGGAAGTGGGACTGCCTCTGACATAAACTGATTGGCCTGCTCTTTGATCACCTCCCCCTGAGGGGGAAGCAGCCTTACCAGGCCACAGAGGATGACAATGCAGCCACTCCTGATGAAACCTGATAGACTAAGATCAGAAGGAAGGAGAGGAGGACCTCCCCTATCAGTGGACTTGGGGAGGGGCATGCGTGAAGAAGGGGGATGGAGGGTGGGGCTGGGAGAGGAGAAGGAAGGAAACTACGGGGGGGGGATACAAAGTGAATAAACTGTAATTAATAAAAATAAAAATAAATTAAAAAAAAGAAAACAGGCTAAGAGCCTGGTGCAGTGGTGGTGCACACCTATAATCCCAACACTCAATGGGGCAGATGCAGGCTGATATTTATGAATTCGTGGCCAGCCTGGTCTACAAAGAGAATCTAGGATAACCAAGGCTACACAGAGAAACCGTGTCTCAATAAACAAAACAAAAGCAAAACAAAACAAAAAAATGTAGGTTGAGCAAGCCATGTAGAGCAAGCCATTAAGTAGCATCCCTCCATGGCCTCTGCATCAACTTCTGTCTCCAGGTTACTGTCCTGACTTCCTTTGATGATGACTGTTATGTGAAACTGTAAGCCAAGTACACCTTTTCCTTTCCCAAGTTTCTTTTGGTCACTAGAAAACTTCTTTTGCAGTTTCTAGATTTAAGCTTTACATATTAAAACATTTAAAGTAATATTTAAAAAATTAAAATATATGCACAATGAATAATTTTCAGGGGGGAAAAAACCTTTCATTTTATTTTTTCAGTACTGGGGATGGATCCTAAGACCTCTTGAATGCTATGCACACACTGTATCACCTAACAACATCTTTTACACTTGCAAAAATATTTTTATAACCTAATATTACACACACACTATATATATATATATATATATATATATATATATATATATATATATATGTGTGTGTGTGTGTGTGTGTATACATATAGATAAATGTTTGTGCCTATATCTATGCAGATATATATCTGATCTGTCTATATTTATTGGATTAACCAGTCCACTATCTGCATTGCCACATTAGTTTTGTTTTTATGTTTTCTTTTTCTTTTTTAAGACAGAGTTTCTTTCTGTAACCCTGCTTGTCTTAAAATTGGCTCTCTAGACCAGAGGTAGGCCATGAAGTCACGGAGGTCTTCCTGCTTCTTCCTCTTGGGTGTGGCAATTAAAAGTATGTGCCAGCACACCCAGAACCATATTATTTTAAAATGAAGGCTGACTGTATCTCTTGAAATTTTGAACCCCAATGCTTTCAAACTTTTGAAGTCATTCACATGTTTGCATGGTACATTTTATTGAAGATGTATGTGTTAGTTACTTTTATGATTAGTGTGGTAAAAATAAGCTAGCAAAAACATCTTAATAAGTGTGGAAAGGATTATTTTGCCTTACAGTTGAAGAGACTTTGCAATGTGGTAGTAAAGGCTTGGCAGAGAGAGATAATTGCTGCTGCTCTAATCACTTTCTCCATGCTATTTAGCCCAGGACTGTAACAATGGAATGGTGTTGCTCACATTTGGGTAGATTTTCAGCCTCAGTTAACCTAGTCTAGAAATTCCTTCTCACACGTGCCCAGAGCGTGGTTCTCTGGGTGACTCTGGTCACAATATTAACAATCATAACGGTATCTCCTTTAAAAAAAAAAAAACTTTTTTATTTTTTTAAAGTATGTTTTTAAAGATTTATTTATTTATTTATTTATTTATTTATTTATTTATTTATTTATTATTTATACAGTGTTCTGCCTGCATGTGTGCCTGCAGGTCAGAAGAGGGCACCAGATCTCATTATAGATGATTGTAAGCCACCATGTGGTTGCTGGGAATTGAACTCAGGAACTTTGGTAGGACAGCCAGTGCTCTTAACCTCTGAGCCATCTCTCCAGCCCCCCAAATTTTTAGATTTATTATTTATACACTATACTGCCTGACTGCCTGCTCACATGTCTGCACACCAGAAGAGGGTAGCAGATCTCATTATAGATGGTTATGAGCCACCATGTGGTTGCTGGGAATTGAACTCAGTACCTTTGGAAGAACAGCCAGTGTCCTTAACCTCTGAGCCATTTCTCCATCCCAATGGTATCTCCTACAGTCATTCTTGTCCCCCATACTTTTAATATGGTCATGCCAAATGCAGATGGGGCTCACATATGATCCATTTTTTGTGTTATCAATGTTCATTGTTAGAAGATACATTCACTGAACACAAACAGCGTAGCTGATGCTTCAGTGCTTCAAAGCCATTGTATGAAGCCACTATACTGAGGCAGGAATTAAGGAATAGCTCCCACATATCAGAGGTAGATCCTCTCCTTGTTGAAAGATCACATATTTTCTTCCATTGCAAAACATGCCCAAGGTTTGCTCTTGCATGAATGTAGAACATATTCTCTTCTTTCCTTTAGAAATTCCTATATGTGACCAATGAATACATTGGTCACATAAATTAACCAATTTAACTCGTAAAGAATGTGTACCAGTTTTTAACTTCTATTTACCAATTTTGATACCCCATCCCCACCTACCATTACTATATCTTGAAAAGATTCTAGCTTGAACAAGAATTGCAATAATAACTCAACAAATATCTCTGAGTCCATGACCTAAGTTCACTGTGCATTTTGTCACAGTCGCTTCTCCTGCTTTATTCATAAATGCATGCAGATACATGCATGTGACTACTGTATAGTATATGTGTATCTGAACATGTATATGCCTCTGTGTAATATATGTGGGAAACAGTACATTAGTACTTACATATAGTTTTTTAATGAATTATTTATAAGTTAAGGGGAATTGTGATCTCTCATCATGGCTAGGGTTAAGAAGAGGTGAAATGGGCAAAAAATAGTTTTAAAACTATTTATTTATTTTGTATGTATCCACACGTGTCTATACACATGCACATGCACATGCACATACCTTATTCCATGCATGGAGGTCAGAAGACAACTTGTTGAAAGTTGATTTTCTCCTTCCTCAATGTGGCTCCCTGGGATCAAACTTAGGTCACCACGCTTGGTAGCAATCACCTTTTACTAGTTGAGCCATCTCACATATTAAAGTGGGAATCAAAAAAAGAGTCAGTTTCCAAGATAAATGATATAGTCTAGTTTTTTTTTTATTTCAGTGATAAAGCAAAGAGCCCATGACAATCAAAACATAAAAAAAATAATTTAAGCAACATAAGCTATTGCTTGTTGTTATGATCCTGCATCACCTGTACAATGTGAAGAGTGAAATTTACATTCATAAATGGCAGTAAAGATTCCAGGTTGCCATCCTAATGGGAGGGCATTTAACAGCCTTTTCTATGTGTGGAAGCAGTGTATCCGGCACATTTCCTCCTTGGCCTCACAGGCCCATGTGGCTCTGCCCTCGTAGTCCATCATACATCTCCCAGGAACACAGAGATTCTCTCGAAGATCACAGTGCAGTGATGACAGGGAGAAGGGGAGACAGGATGCACAGCCAGCATGCAGATTTACACTTCTTCAATTGGGGCGCTGATGTCTTTACTGTCATGTCTCACCATTCAGGATTCCACGAAGATCAGTCAGTCATCAAGACTCTTTGTTCTCCATAATCCTTGAAAGCTAATTTTTTATGTTTGTCTTTGTGTCACTGCTTTTAAAAAACAGTGGTAAAGCATTTTTTTATCTTTTATTATTATTATTATTTTTTTGCAGTGACATTTTCTTAAACACTCATGCATATAATGTGTTTGGATCCAATCTACCTTCCTTTCCCTTCTGTTCAATCACCCCTCACTCCCTACTTTTCTTTCTCTGGTTCCATATCCATGTACATACATGCAGAAAAAAAAA